CTCCGCCTGCCGCCGTCACGTGACGGGGCACCAGGTCCAGCCTATTGCTGATGCTGCAGCGCGGTATTCGTCATGGAGCTGGCACCGCGGATCTGTCTCCTGTTCCTGCCACTGCTGCTGCTTCTGGGCCCGAGTACTGGTAGGTTCGGGCAAAAGATGTATCAGTGACCGGTGCCTTCTTCTCTCTCCAGGGATGAGAGTCTGCTAGTACGTTTGTGCTTTTTAAAGCAAATCTCGTTTCCCCTGTGCCTTTGAACCTCTGTCGGCTTTCTGTCGGTTTGTTTTCTAATTGAAAGTGCTTTTCTAGCGCCCTCACCCCCCCCCCTTTTTTTCTTTTTGGCTCTGAGTGATCTGGTACTCCCTTCTTCCCTAGGTAGAAACATTTGTGGAAAATGTATGATTTGGAGATCAATGAGGTTTCCACAATCTTAACGCCATCCCCCTCCTCCTGCTGTCACTGGCTGTTTAAAAAGACTGAAAAATCCTACCCCGAATGGGCCGTTTCGTTGAGAGAAGGCCTTTTCCCCCTTCACTTGATCAGAACGGACAAAATAATGTCTCCCCTCATCAGGGTCCTTTTTGGCAAAAACAAATTCGTGTTTAAAGGGTGACTTGCAAATAGATTTTCAGTCTCCTCCTCCCCCATCGCCCCCAACAAAATATTTCCTGGTCTGAATCAACAGAATTCCACTGGCCACACAAACTTGCCTTGTGACCTTAGGCAAGTTGCTTAACAACTGTTTTTCCTTTTTTGTAAAATGGGGATCATATGTCCTTCAGTTTGTGTCTAGGAAATGTCAAGTATGTTGAGCCCCAAATTTTAACAGTGGTAACACTCAGGGTAGAGAGGAATATGAGGGCATAGGTCAAAAGGGACCAGAGCCTTATCTATCATTTTCAAGGAGACCTCATTCTTGTGTTATTTGTATACAGACTCTTATAGCCATATCTAGCAGTTCTGTTTTTCTCCTCAAGACACTTTTTGGTTTTCTTAATCTCTAGCCTTATCAGTTACAAACAGCATTGTCTCCTCATCTATTCCCTTCTCTTCTCAAGACCAGTTTTTTGTTCTTTTACTTGCTGCAGAGGCTTGAAATTTAAGAAAGGAAGAAGTGAAAGGTAGAAAATTCCAGTCCCCAAGGGTAATCCCTAAGTCAGCCTTTTCCTCCTTACTTATGCATTCATTGGTTGATTCTTTTATTATTATTATTTTTATTGATTTTTTACAGAGAGGAAGGGAGAGGGATAGAGAGTTAGAAACATCGATGAGAGAGAAACATTGATCAGCTGTCTCCTGCACCCCCCCTACTGGGGATGTGCTCACAACCAAGGTACATGCCCTTGACCAGAATCGAACCTGGGACCCCCTCAGTCCGCAGGCCGACGCTCTATCCACTGAGCCAAACCGGTTACGGCCATTGGTTGATTCTTGTATGTGCCCTGACCAGGGATTGAACCTGCAACATTGATGTATTATTGGGTGACAACAACCAAATTATCTAACCAACTGAATTACCTGGCTAGGACTTGATGTAGTTTTTTCTTTTCTTTTTTTAATATATTTTATTGACTTTTTACAGAGAGGAAGGAAGAGGGATAGAGAGTTAGAAACATTGATGAGAGAGTAACATCGATCAGTTGCCTCCTGCACACCCCCTTCTGGGAATGTGCCCACAACCAAGGTACATGCTCTTGACCGGAATCGAACCTGGGACCCTTGAGTCCAGAGGCCGACGCTCTATCCACTGAGCCAAACTGGTTACGGCTGTTTTTTTCATAACTGAAGATTTTTTCCCCTTATTTTCATAATATATTGGAGTGAGTACATTGCTTAAAATATAAGCCAAGCCATCTCTAGTCCGGCATGGCCACCTTTACTGGACTTGGAATTTATCCAGACATTAGACATCCTTCAGGAAAATCAAATTGTGCTTCTGTTTCAGGAGCCATCGTCGACCTGCCCCCAGACGAAGGCAAAGAAGTATGGGATTATGTGACTGTCCGGAAGGATGCCCACATGTTCTGGTGGCTCTATTATGCCACCAACCCCTGCAAGAACTTCACCGAACTGCCCCTGGTTATGTGGCTGCAGGTAAAAGTGGCTTCGCTGCCTGGACAGGTTTGAGGCCAAGTTTCCCCCACTAACCTGTTGCTTGCTCTTAAGGGCTCACAGCTCAGCCAGTGATCAAGACCTGGGCCAGCAGCCAGCCAGGGGTCCCCTAGGCTTGGGGGTTCGGCACCCTTCTGACGTAGGCCAAGCCAGTGGTATACCAAAGAGGGCAAATCACAGAGGGAGGGGTTCTGTTACCATGTTTGTTTGTTTGTTTGAGCCCAGGCAGTAGCAGAAACCTTTACCTGAAGCTTCTGAGGGCAAATTGGACTATATACTGATAGAAAGTGTTTTGAACAGTTCCGAAGCAAAGGCTGAGGTACCCTGACTGGCTCCTCCCATCTCTGTTTCCCAATCCTTTCCCAGCCCCTAACTTCTTGCCCCCAGAAATACTGATCTTTTGAAAGCACTCAGCCTCTTGTATCGTAGTATTAAACGTCGGGCCTTCTCCTTCTCCCTAGATGTGTCTGCGTTCTGATC